AGTCAAATACTCTTATGAGCAAGGGAGGGGAATAGGAAGAAAGCATAAGAATGGTGAAATTTGGAAATGTACGAGACAGAAAAAACAGAGATGAATAAATATGTTCTATCTAACATGTTTTGCAGTATTTTCATATTTGAGCTAATGCAATAACATGACAATTAAATTGTAAAAGGGATGCTTTAATCAGATGGCTTGCAAATGGTCCATTTCTTAGTATTTTAAAGAAACAGTATAACAGGACATTTCAATAGGATCTAGTTAGAATATTGCTAGGATTTCTGTGACTGTAAGTGACAGAAATATATTCTGAAAAGAGTCATTATGTGCCTTTGCCAAACAAAGTCAGCAAAAACTATAGATTATAGTTTAGGATTGCTGTTGACATAGAGATGAATGTTCTTGAGTGAAGAGGCAGTTACAGTATCTCAAAAACTGTTGGCGATGCAGAACATGATGACAATCAAAAATCAGTACTGAAACCAAATTAGAGAGTGATGCAGCAGATAGGATATTATGCAGGAGATGCAGCATAATAGGATATTAAACATAAAAAATGAAATGCATTGAGCTGCAATGAATTTAAAGAGCCCTTTCAAATTCTCTTTAGCAATTAATCACTCCACCATCCATTCCATCAGGAATAATTCAGGGTATGAAAATGCACAATTAGCCAGCATACGCAGCCTTGTGCTAAAGTCTTAGACAACCAGGAGGTAAAAAATACATTTGTTATTATGAACATTGTCAATTAATTGAAAGCTTTCTCTAATGTTTCTGTTTTATTAAAACAACTTTGACTGTTATTAATGCAGATTAGTTTGCGTGAGAAGAAACCACGTCTGCTAATTAACCAAACTTTAATTCCCATCATTAATCAGAAACTTTCTCGCAACAACGTAAAGTAAACTGAACAAGATCAGCCAATGTGAAGGGTTGTAGTAGCTAATCCATCATATTTACCAGTCAAAAATAGCTAACATTTGTTCATCCTTGCACATTTATAAAACAAATTGCCAGTTTCTCTACAAAAAATATTATACAATATGCAGTACAGTAATATATGTCACAGTATATTCATATTTTACAACAGTACAAATATAGGACAGGGTTAACTGGTGGCATACATGGCTAAAATACCAGTACAGTTGAAAAAAAATGATCTATCTATTTGGTAAACTGTCCTTACATTTTAAATTTAAATTTTTTACCACATTGCTATTGAGAGTGTGCTCACGTGTGGTATTACAGTGTGGTTTGGCAACACCTCGTTGCCTGACAGAAAGGTGTTACAGGAAGTGATCAGGTCAGCCCAGTCCATCATTGGAGTAGAGCTCCCTACTACCTTGTGGATATCTTTAAAACTCAGGGTGGTTGGAAGTATCGCTAAGGATACCAGTCATCCTGGTTTCTCACTTTTCTCTCCCCTTCCCTCTGGTAAGCGTTATAGGAGCATAAAGGCACAAACGTTCAGACTCTGAGACAGTTTCTTCCCACAAGCTGTCAGATTACTGAACTCTACCCCTACCACTGGCTCACACTGATGTTTTTTTTTTTCTCACACTGCTTGTCAGACTCTTTTTTAAGCTATATGTTATTTAACTTGTTGTTGCTGCTGCTGTTCTGTGTTTATGTTTTTGGTTATTCCTTTAATGTCTTTGTATTGGAGCATACATGCAAATAAGCATTTCATTGTACTTGTGCATATGACAAATAAACTGAGCTGAGTAGATGATTGCTAAAGAATTTTGTTTCTGACTAAAGGAAGAAAAACATTAAAAAGAGGGACAATACAGAATGTCTAAGACTTCTTCACATTAGTGTATTTTACATATACTTACATATACATAAAAACAGTACAATTTGAAGAGTCATGAATTTTCTGGGAGCAAATCGTTTAAAGTGCCAGTAGAAGAGTTTTAATCTGTTGAAGCCCTTTCCTTTTTGATTCAGAATTTGTGTATTTCATTGCTCACTCTTGACAGCTACAGAAATGTCTGAATTGAAGTGAAATTTAGGCTGGGTTTACTCTTAGCATATTCTAGCATGGGATACTGGGCTTTTTAACCAAGGATCTGTAGCAAAGAGTCCAATTCAGAATGGCTAAGATGATGCTATGTTATTCCTGAATGATGTCAAATTATCTATTTATCATATCAAGAGCACAGTCAGGAAAGGAGGGATACACTCTACTGATGAGCCCCAGCAAGGTCAAAACAGGTCTATATTTTCTAATTATCTGAATGGTCCTTTGTTGACTAGACGTGAAGAACCTTTATTGAAAGGGTTATGCAGTGGGTAAGTCTTTAGAAGCTTTTAAAGACAGGAAAAGTTTAAGTTATACTTTTCTGGGAATATGATTATCCTCACAAGAATCCGGGTCTGTTTTCCATGTAAAATGGAAAAGGAAAGGATTTAATAAAATGTATTAGTATATATATATATGTGTGTGTGTGTAATGCACGTTTGTTTAATCTGTCAATGAACATTTCAATTTTACCATTATCATACATTGAAAAATATAATCTTTATATAGTCATATATAATATTTTGGAGTGTGTGACAGTATATTATCAGATAATGGAATACATTTTCTAGGAATATCTGAAAGTACAATGTTAAATACATTTTTAAAATGTGTAATTGTTTACATTTTCAAAAATGTGTATCCTTATCTATCCTGGACGCACAGCACTTATGTACAGCAGAGAACTCTGCTTTAGCCGAAGAGCAAGTCCTGCAGGAGGGGAATTCAACATAAAGTTTCAAGGTGGGCTTGACTGGGCCTCAACTCCATGTTACTGAACCCAATTACACGTCAGCTGTGGGCTGATTATGTCTCTATGGCACGATGGTGTTTTGCAAGGGGTGTTTTTAGTCACCATGTCTTTTTTGGAGACGTCTTTATTTCTAGAATACATTCCTCCGTATTTTTGGTCCTACTCTAACCTGCGTTTTCATTCAAAAACCTTTTTTTCCCCATCAATTTCTTGGCAATGATCAGATTACGACAAGACCCCTGAAGAAGATTATATAATCACTTCTGGAATAAATTTTTCCATTTCTATTGATCTATAAAGGATAACATATATTTGACCATAACGATGCAAAATGAAGGTCAGCACATGATATTTACATTTTAAATAGCGAATAGGTTTGTTGTATGCTAGAAGTTTTCATTCAGTAATGAAAAGGACTTCTAAGATAAACCATGTGAAGATACAAGGTGCTCTGTGTTTGACAACGAAGTCAAAAACGATCAAATTAACAATTTGTATTAAGCCATTCAAAAATATTTTTTAGGAAAGCAAAACATGTCCCACCTGAGTAATAAATATGTTCTGGCTGAGGTACAGTTTGAATGAGGCTGGTCTGCCAGTGAGAGGATTTGACTAGATAGAGATTGCAATGTTGTGCTTCACCAGCTGACTCACTAGTCCACAGGGATCGGAAAAGTGAAGTTCTTTTTTGTAAGAGGCGCAACTGCACTCAGGATAGATGGACTTTGACAGATTTTGTAACGACTTGTATGGGTTTAAGAAATCCCCTCTGTCGGTTGGTCCCCAAGCAGACAGTATTCTTGCATGGACCATCAGTGTGTGTCTTAGTAGATATCATTCCATCGATGCTTTGGAAGTGAAATGCCCAAGGAATATAGTAAAAAAAACATATTTCCACAAAGATATACAGTAACAGAACCACATGGTGTGCAAACCACAGGTCATTTATAATTTACTAGTGCGATGTTTATTTGGAAAACAATGAAATAAACCAGAACTGTTTTTGTTTAAGAGGGATTTTAATAAGGATAATACTACAGAAATGCATGGGTTTTAAGAAAAACCTTTTTTATGGGTTGTGCACTGAAACATCTTAATGCAAATACTATGGCAAGCAAAGGGAGAGAACCTACAGTATAGTTCAACCTGTGGTGTCAACTTGAAATTATAAATACCTTTAAACCTTAAAGTATGGGGTTCTACTCTCAATCAAAACGTTAGATATGTAACTGTTCATCTGCAGAGTACAATGGACGCAATGACACATCTTCATAGCTTCATAGCTTTTAATGCATGTTCATTCTGTTCCTCATTAATAAATAACCACACATACAGTGCAATGGCTCTTTATTCTACTGGATTGTGTGCAATGGAGCAGTATCGCAATTGCAGCTGTTTCTGGTCTTTAAGTCATCATGGACACCAAGTGCCCAGACCTTATTATCACATTTGAAAGGGAATTTTGTTCACTATTTCTGATCTGTACATATATTGGTTCTGTAATAAATGTAAACATAATGTGTATATGTTTTACATTTTGTATACATTGAAATGGAATGTATATAACTTTATTTTATCGTACTCAAATAGTGGAATAGTGGGTACCGTCTGAAGTATGGTATAGTTATTCGAATCATACAGTAGGTTCGGATTTACAGCTTCTACAAACTTGATTATTCCTTTGTCCATTTGTGTGTGTTGCAAGAAGGTCAGCATAACCGGGAAAGATCAGGTGTAAAAGAACAGGACAGTTTGCAGTCACTGAGATGTCGCATGTTTCTGCATCTCACAATTAACAGAGGTTATTGTTACTAGAGAATATTGTTAAATATGCGGCTCAGAAAGTACAACTAACAAATGGGGTGGTTTGTAGATAAATTTAACTCCAGATACGCAAGGTGCTCGGCTTTATTAGCGTGTTTCGCCTATTGTGAACTAAAGTGCGAGATACTCCGTCCTTGAACCTCTTGCTAGGTCAGCTTTCTGTTTAGCTGTCGTTGGCACAGTGCAATAGCTTTTTTTTCCACTTCTTTCATACCAATGTTCCACACCGAAACTTTACTATTCTCATAATTTTTCTACGGTACGCGTTCTGGAACAATAGTAGGCTGGAATATAGGGCACAGGAGTTTTGGTCCTCGGTCATAAGGAGCAGATCCGGTGTGATAATTCATGTTGGCGAGGCTCAGGCTAAGAATGTACACGATTCACCTCAGGATGGGAACAGTTCTTCTGCAACTGAGCCCTCCCTTGAACTGCGCACCCAATCAGAACCACTGAGGTGTACAATTAAATTGAACTGATTTGCTGCGTAAAGTTGAGTCGGAAAAGACTGAAAGGTGGTCTTTACTCGCAGAAGAGAGAGGCTTGAGAAACGCGAGGTGACGGTCATAGACTGTCAGTTTAACAACTGGGAAGTCTAAATCGAAGCACGAACAGGCTCGCGTTTGATCATGTTCACTGTTTTATCGGGAGGGATAAAGCTCTGCGGATGACGACGTATTGCTTTCCCTCACTGTCTTGAAATCCTTATAGCATCGTCTCGAAACTCACTACTGCGGTATAAAGTTTAAATTATCTTAAAGTTGTCTAATAGCTCTCTGTTTTGTTCAACGAAGCTCGCTTTGCAAAGGAATTAAGTTGAAGACGACCACGACCGCGATTAACCAGCATTGTTACCAATCCTGTCTGTTTCATTGGGTTTAGGAAGAGAGGCGCAGTCGTCGCAAAGCGAAACTACGCAATTAATTCAAGAATGGAATACCAGTATGCAATAAATTAAGGTGTGAATTCTCCGGTTGTCTGAAAGTGTGAAGTCTGGTTGTTGTGTGCTGGAAGCAACTCGTCAAGTAACAGATGAACCTGTAGGTGACGACGCATTTCGAAAACCAAGGTATGTGTAAGTAATCCACAGTACCTTCTAAATTCCAACAGTCATCGTTTTCAGTTTTTCCTAATCAGACATGAAATCAGTTATCATTGGTTGCTATATTTTCCATATACATCGATTTCTTTCCGTTTCTCCGAGAGGAGACTTTATTCGAAATGAAACTGAGCTTGCAACTTGCTCGGACGCTGCCGGAACCCTTTTATATAGGCTATATGAATGTGTCAAACGAAAGGGAGCTACAGTATATAGGAACAAAAGATTAACCTAGTAAAACTATGGTCAAAACTATGTACAAATCTGGCTCGGGAAAGGGATGATGAATAGAATCCAAAGTATATACTGTATACCGTAAATTAATTATCATAAAAATAGGAAATTGTACCCATTTAATTAAAATATAATGTCATGATTTGGGTACACGATTTGGCAGCCCATACAGTAGGTAACCCCAATCTTGCAGCTCTGCTCCAAAATAGTTGCTTAAGACGGAACTGTGTTGATTTCACGTTTGCAAACTGATGAAGGTACTGTACAGTATGTTCCCCCCATAGAATACATCGTGTTATGTTGGAAGCTTAAGCAAGTTATGTCTAACACAGAGTAAATGTAGTCTGTGCTTGTTCGGGTTCTTGACAGAAAGTAACTTGACAGGTCTAAATTTGATTTTTTTTTTTTTAAGAAAGTTAATTTTAAGTAACCGGACAATTTTGTGTTTAGCCGTCAAGAGCAATGTCAGAAATCTACGGAAAACTAGCCGCTGACGGTGCACTTGTAATTGTTCCTTATGGGGAAAAACCCTGTTTAAGAACACAATCGTGTTCTTTATTGACTTCATCGGACTGCAGAAATAAAAGAATCCTACTTGAAGCGACAAATACATTTTTTTGTCTTTGGTGTCCTAATCGAAATGAGTTGCATATTGATTTTGAGCGCTGCATGAATCTGACGATATGCCCCCCCACGTACTCTTTAATTTTAACGTAGTCTGTCAACACGTATTTTCTTATCGCATTGACACAATGAGCATCGATTTCATCGTAGAAGTAACAATGTGACGACTTGCTGGAATAGGGCTGGATTGCGGGCTTTTGTAGTGACATAAATTTGTAAAATACGTAGATTCCTTGAACATTTATGACACTTCAGGAAAACCGGTTGATCTGTTTTTAATCTCAAACTGAAAGTTAAACTGCGTGACAGTAATCCTTAGTTTTTAAGTGTACCTGAGCATAACCTTAACTGAAAAGTTTGTAAAATCTGAAAATCTATGAAGTTGTGTTCGCCCGTTAAGTAATTATAAATAAGGGCTAATAAGACCTTGTGCCGACCTGGAAAAAAAAATCTTTGCTGTACACTGACCTCTAATGTAGGGGAATGAATGCAAGCAGGTAAAAGAAATGCGTAAATGTAGCAAAAACATACATACAAATAAGATGGGGAAAAAATGAAAAAAGGCATGAAGATCCAACTCATGAAAAAGACCTAAATGTTTATGTTGACATCGTTTTTATCTTCTAGGGGTTGTAATAAAACATACTTTTAGGATATACAGATGAAAATGGAGAATTTAAAATCAAAGGATGCTGTGCTAAAATTGTACTATGTTCTGTTGTACTCATTGTGTATGTTAACGTCAACCGTAATCAGAACTCCCTGCTCTTGAAGTTATCACCAGAGCTGTCCATGTGCAGATAACTGCACCTGGGAGTGATTAACTGGCTGAACAATCAGGGAAGTGTGCTTGATTCCCTAGGAATCAATAAAAGGTAGTTTGTAACAAAGAATGCCTAAGATGGAAAATACCTGAATGGAGTGAAGGACTTTACAAGTGGCACAACACTGTAAGAGCAAGATAGCATTGTTGAAATGAATGGTGGATGTGTTTAATGAGTTTGGATTGGTTTAATTATTTTCAGTGCTGCTTTGCATTACATGCTAGGTAAGAACTGAAACAAAAAGGGAGAAAAACTCAAAGTTTAATTAAAGGAGAGCCGCTCTGACAAATATAGGCAGCTGATGACTGTTTTGTGCAAAAAACAGGCTGATAATACCTCTGCTGCTGCTTTTGTTTTATGTGTGTAGAAGTGGGTGGTACCCGGAAAGTCTTTGTTTAAGTGCACACTTTTAAAAAGCCATTCCATTAATGGTTACTGTTAATGCAGGCTGTGCTACTGATCTGTAAAGAGGTTCCAATTTAGAAGAAGAAAACATGGTCAAGGGACTTTGTTTTAATCAAAAAAATAGAGGAGAAGCAGATATGAGCGGTGTTTCTGTGATGGTTAGACCCTTCTATGACCAATAAAAACACATGAGCCTCAAGGGTGGGATTAATGGTGAGCTGAACTCCTAAACTTCTTGTTGTGAGGAGAGCAAGAAATGGATAGCAGCTATTATTGCTGAGAGCTAAAGAAAAGCAAATCTACCGTTGGTGCCTAGAGCCCCTTGAAAGCTGCTTTGTTTTCCCAAGATTGAGCTGAACATCCAGCTATCAATCTCGCTAATACTGCATGATGGTCCAGACAGATGAGAGAGACGGCCATAGAGGATTTTAACATGGTGAACTACATCATTATCCTGATTACTGTCTGCACTGGAGTGAGAATTTAATTTGTTTCAACTTGCCAGATCGCTGACTAGGAGAGACAGATAAATTGTAAACGCCAGAGGCCCAAGAATGGAGCCCAGAGGAACATCAAAATCCTTGAAGTAATTTCAGCCTCTGCTGTTAACACACTTTCACTTCCTAGCGTGCCTGTTCACAAGGCGTACTCATTTTTAAATACCAGTGTTACATCGCAGATGTACTGTATGAATCTTTTCTTTTGCTGAATTTGTTTTTTACAATGGACTCAACATGCCTGCACTGTACCACTTTTATCTGCAATGAAATATTCTTGTGCCACTTTACATCTGTGAGAACAGATATGAGCAACAAAAATGATTTGGAAAATACTCCTAACTAGGGTGTATTATATGCTAAATCTTATCTATACCAAAGGTCAAAACTTGGACAACACTTGGCTTTAATGGACTTAAATAAACATTTTAAATAAGGACATCAATCCCAATCACAGAAAATGTCAATAAAAATACAGAACAAAGAATCATACTAGGGTTTCAATAGGAAATGTGATTCACTGTCAGAATAAAACCATTATTTTAATGGTAGGGTAGTGTATGACCTTCCTGATGATTGACAAACCTGGCAGCATTGATTGATACAAAAAGGTTCTGCCTTCGGACAAATTGCTGTTGGCTGTTTCTTCCACTTTTTCTGTTTGGCTGTAGCCAGCTGGGAAATGCTTCCAGCTTTGGGCGGCTCACATTGACGGTCCCACAAATGTTATTTTGGACTCCTGGAGAAAAGGCGTACCATAGTCTTGACACCATTTTCTTGAAGTTCACTTTTCATCTTGGCACTGCGTATCCTTACATTGTCCTGGTGGAAAATGGAAAATGGCTTGACCAAGTCAACAGTTCACTTTCCTTGACATCTCCACATGTTATCTTCCATCATGTCTGTCAAGAGCAAATTACAATCAGTGGTGAGTAAAACACTCCACAGATCTGTGCTTCCACATCATCTGCCACCTTTTCTGGCCTGCTTTAGTCTGTTTGCTGTCTACTGATGCTGTTTGCATCGTTCACTGTTCTTGCATTAAATAACAATCAAGTCTTTTTGAGCGGTAGTTAATACAGATCCTTAATCAACTTGACAATTGTAATTCATCTTCAATACCAAACCAAACGCTGAGCACCTGACGTTTTTTAGAAATCATATGACTTGAACTCAGTATTTAAAGCACATCCTGTTGCATTTTCATTGCCCTTCGGTATATGTGTCGGCAGAAATGATGAGATACAAGCAGTGATTCTTGGGTTTTTTTTTTCTCTTGACAAGTGTAGTTTACAGTTTGCTGTCCTATTGTTGTGAAAAAGGAGCCATAACATCATATCTCTTTACACCATAGAAAACATGTTTTAATGAATTCAAACCATTCATACGTACTGTATTATTCTCACAAGACTGAACATTCAACCATTATTACAAGGAACATAATCTGTTGAGCATCTGCTTTTCCAGTCAACAACTACAATATCCAGTTTAGATTGTCCTCATGCAATTAAAATGAACTTTACTTGTATATCCCAGAAAGAAGTATTTGTCAGTTACACTGTTTACATTGAAATTAAAGATTCATCAGCAGTTTGCTGCAAAAGGCTCAGGAGTTGCTTGTAAACATCTGAATTGCCTTAAAGTGCCAATTTGTTCAAGTGTAACCTGTTACCATAGCAATGGGTAAGAGTTTTTATTATTCTTTAAAAAACTACCTTTTTATAAACCAAGGGTGTTTCAAAGCTGAACTCTTCAATGCGAAGCGCATGAATCTTTTTAATAACTAGTATTACAATGCCGTCCCTTTCTCTGTGAAAATGTTGTTATCACCTTTCTTGTCTCAATCCTCCTATATTACTGTACTGAAGTAAAGACCATAACAGCAAAGAACACTTTTTGTCAGTGTACGGCTGTGGAACAACTAGAACTAATGTTGCATAGCTGAATCTAAATTTAGGGAGCTGTCACTGCCAGTATGTACAGTAAATATTAACCAGAATGAAAATACTGGTTATAAGTTTTATGAAGATAAAGTTATGAAGTGAATGGGAGAAAAGATTAGCATTTTGTTAATTGGCACACACTGCTTAATGTATATTTCAGAACGTAATGTACTTTCTCTTCTACCAAAGCAGATACTGTTCCATTTGTGATGAAGTCTACTAAGTGGGTATTTTAAGGTTAAATATAATGTATAGCCACTGTTTCAGTTTAATTCAGGGTAGTCAGAAAATTATTTCTTTTACATTTATGTATTATGTAATATAACTCTGAGTGTCCAATTGGATAGTATTCACCAAAAGCTGTGCTCCATGCCTAAAATCAATAAAGCCTAAATATTTCATTGCTTTGGCTAATAATTGATTACACATTTTTGTAAAGAAAAGGTCTT